ACCAGTACAAACTAGCCAAAACTGTCCTAATACCAGTACAAACTAGCCGAAACTGTCCTAATACNTATCTTGACTTTTTACCTCAGTGTGTCTCTTTGTTTAATTCCAAACAACTTTGCTTCATAATGTCATAGTGAAATGGTCACCAGTGAAAAGCTACAAAATTTGACCTTGACCCCTGACCCGATGACCTTGACCTTACGTCAGTTGACTTCCTGTTTAATTCTTATCAACTTTGCTTCATAATGTCATAACAAAATGTTCATCAGTGAAAAGATGTAAAATTTAACCTTGACCTTTGAACCTAATGACCTAGACATTTGACCTTGACTTTTTACCTCAATGTGTATTTTTGTGAACTGAACATCTTGACCACGTTTCATGTACATCGGTCCATAGATACCAAAGTTATCAGCTAGGAACAAAATTTACAGACAGACAGACAGACAGACAGACAGACAGAGTGATTACTATAGGGCACCCGAATCTCCGATACGGGGCCCTAACTAGCCAAAACTGTCCTAACACCAGTACAAACTAGCTGAAACTGTCCTAATACCAGTACAAACTAGCCGAAACTGTCCTAATACCAGTACAAACTAGCTGAAACTGTCCTAATACCAGTACAAACTAGCTGTTAATGACTGCAATATGTCAAATTTTTTTCAAGACGATTGTGCACGACAATGTTTCTAAATATGACTCACAGGGGGTTGAAATGTTTGGTGATCATGGCTTAAATTAGGGAGCTTGTTGAACCTTAATGGTAACTGATATTGATCACATAATTTCAACTTATTCCAAACACTAGGTTGCAGACAGAGACTTTTTTCAAATGAACTTGTCAGATTTATTGGTGTTTTCCTGGGACCTGTTAAGAGTTGAACAAAGAGTTAAAACATGATTAAATCCTGTAAAATATTCACAACTGACAAATAGATGAGTTTACAGGGAAAGAAACAATGAGGAATATCTGGGTGAAAAATGGAGAACTTTGACTGTTATTGCAGTGCATACCTATCCGTACGGGGAAGTCACTCTTGCTCCAGATCCTGAAGTCAAACAGGATGTGCTGGTACAGGTGATTGACCATACTCTTATTGACGGTCATCGTTGTCTCTACCAGTAACTGCACAGCCATCAACACGTTGACGTCAATCAGTTTTGGGTCGACCTGTCAGTAGGTATAATAAAGTGACAATGTAGAGAGTTATTTAGCCGATATCATTTTATCAAAAACAAAAAAGTCATCTTGTATAAAAGAAGGCTTTTTACTTTTATTCAATTTTTAACTTCACCAGCAGTTAAACTTCAACATAACGGCCCTTGTTCAATTAGCCACCTTTCTTATAATTACCATCAACATATTTCAAAAGTCTGTTTTTCTGTACCTAAGAATTCCTTATGTGTATATTCTGTAGGAGATCTCTGAGTGTCGGCAGCATTGATTCATACACAACCATTTACTATACATTTACATTTCTACTGAACTTGGACTCACATACATACTAAACATTTTAAGGGTTATTTTTCAATGAACTTTTTCAGTTGGCGCATGAATACATCAGCATATTATCAACCTGACTACTCCGTTATTCCACGGATCTCGGGAAGTAATTATATTAATAGATTGTTTTCAATGTGTTGGAGGGTTTTGTCGGAAGTTTTCAATTGAATTAAAAAATAATAATTTACACCTTAATTTTTTCCCCGTTGTAATAGATGCAAACAAGTTATTCATCTTACCAGGACAATGTTTTACAGCGAGTGATGAGGCCATATAAGCTTTGGTACCTTCTGTGGTGTTAGCCTTGCACAAGACAGATATTTAAGAAAAATATAAGGATAGAATCATGTTTTGTTGAAGTTTATGGGGTATAAATCTCAATGGATCTTGAGAAAAATAAAACAGCAGTTCATGAATTTTTTCTCCAATACCCATTGAGGTTTATACCCCATAAACCTCAACAAAACAGGATTCAATCCTTAAATATACAACATACCTTCTGCAGGAGAGCTCCGAAAACAGTGATAGCACCAGACGAAACATTTTGCTATATAATACAACATACCTTCTGCAGGAGAGCTCCGAAAATAGTGACCGCACCAGAAGAAACATTTTACTATATAATATAACATATCTTCTGCAGGAGAGCTCCGAAAATAGTGACCGCACCAGATGAAACATTTTGCTATATAATACAACATACCTTCTGCAGGAGAGCTCCGAAAACAGTGACAGCACCAGACGAAACATTTTACTATATAATACAACATACCTTCTGCAGGAGAGCTCCGAAAACAGTGACAGCACCAGACGAAACATTTTGCTATATAATACAACATACCTTCTGCAGGAGAGCTCCGAAAATAGTGACCGCACCAGATGAAACATTTTGCTATAGTGACCGCACCAGATGAAACATTTTGCTATATAATACAACATACCTTCTGCAGGAGAGCACCAAGAGTGGTGGCAGCCCCGGTTCGTACGAATGTGTCCTGGTTCATACTCTTGGTATGAACCATGTGACGAAGCAAAGTCAGAAATCCTGACACCTGGTTCTGTTCAAGTTTGGCATCTACGCGGACAGAAAGAAGAGCTTAAGTAGTTTTACACAAACAGGCACAAACACTTTACACAGAGTCCCCCACTCTCACATTTAAAAACTAAAGCAAGGCCACCGAGGCCAAGGTAAAATATAAAGATGAAAAAACTGTGGAACTCATTACACACGTAAACATGTACAATTATGTGACCACTGATGCAGTACTTCGTCCATAATTTATCGAAATACAAAAATTCTATTAATCCTTTCACCCCTGTAGACCATAATGGACTCATCCATATGAATGTATGGTAGAGTCTTCTAAAGTTACATAGGGGTGAAAGGGTTCAGGTCTCAGGGGTCAAGGTTTAGGTAACAAAATGTGGTACAACATGCTCTACCTCACATAGAGGTATATACATAGGCATGTGAAGTGGCTTGACCTTAGTTATAGTACTTGGTCCTTAACAGACTTACACACAACATGAGGCCTATTTTTTTTCTAATTTTATTGATTATTGGCAGATTTCTCTATTAGAAAAAATGTAAATACTGACCAAGTCTCATCAGAATCCTGTGATATCTGACTAAGTCATTATGCAGAAACCGTGGACCAATCAGGTAGCAGTATGCTAGTAAACTATGTGCTGGTTTTGCTCACCTTTGATTTTAGTCTTTATCACTATAATAGAGATATAATGACCAATTTTTATAAGAATCCGGTCATATTTGACAGACTTATTGTACAGAAACCATCAACCAATCAGAGCAAGTACAGTATGCTTATTAATTATACACACTTTGCTCAACACTTAGCCTCAGTCTATAAAAAAATGTATTTGCATACTAAGTTTCATCAAAATCGATCCATATTTAAGCAAGTTATCTTGCTGAAGCTAAAGTTTGGAAATTGACAACTGAGAGTACAGTATGCTAATTAATCATGGGTATCCCCCCTCTTGAATAAGAGGGGGTACGGGGGTCTTCCCCGAAAATTTGTAAAACCTAGATGCAAAATCCTGGCATCTGAAGGTTTTAAACAAATAATGAAGGTTTTTCATTTTCTTTAAAATACTTGTTTTTTCTCCTTAATTTTTCATTTTTTCCCATTTAATACTGATTTTTAGGAAATGACACAGAAACATGAAACAATTTTTCCTTTTTTTTTTTTTACATAGCCCCCAACAGTAGTCTGTATGATTTTTGTTGCAACTCTTATCAATCTCATCCTTTTTTGTTGCAGACCAACCTGCATAAGAACTGCTTGGAATAACGACCCAGTCGTCTTGTTCCTGTGAACTGGAGTGTGACATGACGCCTGGACTGGGGGGTGGGGACATGATAGCCTCCCCAGGAAGGGGACCCTTGTTCACCTGCTCCAGAAGTGGGATCAGGACCTGGATACCACCGATGCAGTTGATCACATCCTGTAATACATAACAATGTGAAACCTTTTAACACTGTATCATGTATTTGACTATTATCAGGTTATCAGTCTCTGGGAAGTTAGAAGTAAGTAAGCCATCTTATCTTAAAAACATTCAGGTTTTATTGTATTTTAAAGTATTTCTTTCAAGTCAGGTGTCAGTATAGTCAGGTTTTACTTTATATTCCAGGATGTCCTTAAAGTCAGGTGTCAGTAAAGTCAGGTTTAACTGTATAATACAGTATGTCCTTAAAGACGTTTTTATTAGATTCTCAAATAGCTTTGTAAAATAATCTCTCTTACAACAATTGCAATATTTGAAATATGTATTGTCAAATCAAATTCAAAGTACAAATAATTTCTTATTTTAATACTTAAAGAAACATCTGTATATACCGTTATGTTTTGTAAGGAGATGGCTTATATAGGCTATGCCTGTTGCCTAATTCCTTTTGTACATAAGATCAGTACAATGACATATTCTGAAATGAGAAAAAAATGTCATTAAAGACAGGTGTCAGCTGTAGTCAGGTTTTACTTCATATTACAGGATGTCCTTAAAGTCAGGTTTCATTGTATTTGTCTTGTTTACAATACCTACCTTGATGTCCCAGGTGACACATCGCTGGCCGATGATCTGCCCATGATTCAGGTTCTGAGACAGGTCTACACACAGTCCATCCTTGGAGGCCTGAAATAAACATGAACCATGTAATATTTTATGATAGATTTCAGCTCTATTGAATTTTTTTGAAACTCAATGTTAGAATAATTCTGAATTATGATTATTTTTTCTTGTCTACCATAACACCTGATAGAAACATGACTGTGTTGACCTAACCTACATTTCGTTGAATACTTATATTCCTCGAACTACTGATCTGGACCCGAGGGTTTTACTGTATGTATATACATGTATACCATAGAATGGGATTTTGACAACATTATCAACAAGAGGCCCAGAGGGCCTGTATCGCTCCCCAGGATATTAGAGAAAGCATTGGAAAATGTTCTCAATATAAGTAATTTTGCAAGTATTTCCCTATACCGAGTCTCCGTGGCTTAAGAATGTTCTAGAGAAACTGAAACTTTATGCTTCTATATCGCAGCATGCTACTGGTCAAATATCATCACCCAGAGCCTCCATGTAATGCAGAAGAAGCTGTTTAAAGGTTTTTACATATTTGACCCCTAGTAGAAAGTAGGTAAAGGTAATTTATTTAGGGAAACTTTATAGCACGCCAGCCGCTGTACCTACTGGCCGAATATCATTGCTCTAGGCGTCCTAGTTATTCAGAAGAAGTTGTTCAAAGGTGTTTACACTTTGTGCCTGGTGAGCTAAAAATATTAGACATACTAACCTTGGCATCATAGTGCAAAACCATCTTGGAGACCAGATCGTTCAGTTCGGAGAATTCTTCATTGGCAAATAACGTCTGATGATTTGGTCCTGTAAAGAAAAAGTTTCTCTTTAAATCTGGATTGAAAAAGGTTTTTTTTTCTATTAAAATGGACTGGTTTTCTCCACTAGCAAACATAATAAATACCAAGGGGAATTCAAACCTTTCAGTTCTTCTAGAGAAATTGTAATGACAAGCAAATTATTGAGACAAATGACAGACCACAAAGTAAAATAAGGTCATTTAAACAGCCCACCAGCTGGTAATGGTGGGTTGAAAAATATAAGGAGAGGCCCACGGGCCTGTATTACTCACCTGAATAATAAAGCAACCATAGAAAATTATTCTTATTTATTACAATACTGCAACTGTTTCCAAATATTGGCTCTGTCTCTCAGCAACACCCGTCCCTCATTAGTTCCCTTCTTTCTGCCCACCATGAATAGAGGCGGATTTTAAACATTAACCTCAATTTCACCTATTGCATCCCCTCTGTCCCCTAAAAGCAACCCTCCATTTATACCATATTGAGTTTCCTTTGCCCAAGGATGCTCTACCCCACATTTAGTTAAAATCCCCAAAATAAACTAAGGAGAAGGATTTTAAACATTAAGTACTATGTTCCCCCTACTGGACCCTTCCCCTTTGCCCCCAGGGGAACAACACTCTCTGTTAAAACATATGGAGTCCCCTTTGAATACTCCTATCATACTGAAGGAGAAGGATTATAAAGATTAACCTCAATTTACTCTATTGGGCCCCACCCCCTAGCCACACCCTGTGTTTATACAAAATTTAGACTTCTCTTTGCCAAAAGATGATCTGGACCAAATTTAAAGTCCCTCTAATTGTACAGAAGGAGAAGATTTTTGAAGATTTGCCTCAATTATCTCTATTGGGCCCTGCCCTTCCTCCCCATGGTGAGCCACACCCTCCATTTAAACATAATTGAGTCCCCTTTGCCCAAGGATGCTCAATACACAATTTGGTTAAACTTCCTTCAATCAAACTGAAGGAGAAGATTTTAAAGATTTACTTGAATTTCCTCTGTTTGCCCCCATCCCTCTGCCACAAGGCCATGGGGGACACACCCTCCGTTTATACAAAATGAGTACCGTTTGCCAAAGGATGCTCTGCACAAATGGTTAAAATCCCTCAAATGGTACAAGAGAGGAAGGAATTTTAAAACAAGAATTATGCATAATTATGTGTCGCCTGTCCCGCTTTGTCAATATAATAAGCATTTGACATAGTACTTAGGATATATTTAAAGAGAATTGAAATTGAAGGTCATATCCCAATGTGATAACCTAATAGGTAATAGGTTGTGAGAAAGGCAGACATTATTGAATTGTATACGCAGTATGCATTATAACCACACCTGTAATTAAAATGCAAAAAGTGTCATTAGTCAGACATGATCTGAAAGTGGATACAAAATAAAATGTAATTATGTCATTATTGTGTATTAGTAACATGTGATATTATTGATATGGAATTTGGTCAAGGAAGCGGGTAACAAAAATGCATATATCTTACATGATACATGCTATGATACACCTACAGTGTATGACCCAAGTACATAAGGAAACGGACCTAAACCCAAAATCATAACATTGATTTTTTTTAAAGTCCAGAAATTTCAGGTTTTTATCCGGAAAAAATGCAGAAATCCATGAAATGTTTTTAGAGTAGTAGGCTCTACTACCCATGATACATGTATGATTGAGGTTTGGTTGGTCTAGCTCTTATACTTTGTCAGAAAGAGCCTAATTTGCAAGAGCTAAACGCAAAACCTTAAACGTTGAGTTTTTTTCTAAGTCCAAAAATTTGAGGTTTTTACCAAAAAAATACAGAAATCGTTGAAATGCTAGTAATGAGTATAATGCAGTCAGCTAAACATCCCATGATACATGTATGACCCAAGTTTGGTTGCTCTAGCATTTATACTTTGTCAGAAACAGCCAAATATGTAAGAGCTAAACACAAAACCTTAACGTTGAGTTTTTTTCCCCAAGTCCAGAAATTTGAGGTTTTTACCAAAAAAAAAGCAGAAATCAATGAAAAGTTTTTAGTGCAGTAGGCTCCACTACCCATGCTACATCTAAGATCGAGGTTTTGTTAGTGTAGCTTTGTCAGCAACAGAGCTAAACGCAAAACCTTAACATTGTTGACGCCGCCATCGGAAAAGCAGCGCCTGTGTCTTTCCGACATCCGTCGTAGGCGACACAAATATCACCTAAATTTTCTCTATTTGAGCCACCCCTCCAAAAACCCAGAAGGGACACACCCTCTGTTCATTTAAAATCGAGTCCCCTTTGCCAAAGGATGCTCCAGGCCAAATTTGGATAAAATCCCTCCAATAGTGCAGAAGAAGAAGGATTTTAAATATTTAAACCTCAAATTCCCTATTGGGCCCCGCATCTCTTCACCCAGAGAGGCCACATCCTCCTTTCATACAAAATTTAGTCCCCTTTACCCAAGGATGCTCCAGGCCTAATTTAGTCAAAATCCATAAAGCTGTTCAGGACTTAGCATTTTAAAGGAACATTTGATGGACGGACGGACGACGGATGGACACTACGGTACGGCATAAACTCACCATGGTCCTTTGGACCAGGTTAGCTAAAAATGCTTTTGTATTGTCAAAACAAAACACAAGTCTAATTTGTAGACTCTTAAAAAGTAGGTGTGTTAATTATCAAATTACAAACCTGCTGAAAAAAACGCTTTTATCTGACTCGGATGTAAAGCATCATGAAAGAAGCAGATGAGACCGAGCTGTCCATGAATGGGAATGGGAGAACCCCACGCATCGTCCTGTGTTCCAGTCAGTAATGAGTTGACCCCTGGTTCACAGGGACTTGGTTTTGATTGGCTTGGAAAGAAGAACTTCAGAGGAGATTTTTTTGTTTTGGTATCTGTGGCAGGAGCTGATTGGTCGATTACCAAGTTCATGGTTGAACGAGGACAGGGCGATCCAACACGACAAGAAGTAAATGCCTGAAATATTTAAATACTGTCAGTAATGTATTTCTCATACACCATATATTTATGTATTTGCATTCACAAGATTATTGTAATGAGGGCTGTAAATTCCAATCCTTATTATAATGGCTTGACAGCCGACAATTCTTGATCTGTCCTAGGGTAAAATTGTGATTGAATTTGTGCTATAAATAACAACAATAGATACTTACACAAACAACATACGTATACATGTTTTACAACTTCAGACTCATATCAAACATGCACTTTATGACGAAATGACAAATCACACATCAGAGAGCTGACTCAGTATAAGATTTGACTAACACAAGGCAATTAAGATCAAGGAATACTTTTCTTTGAAGTGCATGTAAACTAGAACACTGACAGGTCAGTAAGAGCCCCGTCTTGTGGCAATATATCCGCCATAATCATCAAGAAGCAATCTGCCAATAAAGCTGAGCTTGACGTCTGATATTTGGACTTATATTTAACATGTACTATGATGTGAGTCTTGTTTCCTTCCACCTCCATATTTGCTAGGCTAACAGAAATGTAAATACCGGTGCAATACTCATTTGTTAGCTTTGATATGTTTTATTTCACTTTAAATACCTCCTCCATCAAGAGCCAGGGTCAAAGTCAGAGATCCACTTTGTCTTTGACCTTTGGACCCAAATGGCCTTGACCTTTAACCCAGTGACCCTGATCTTTGGTCAGTTGACTTATTCTTTGATTCCGACCAACTTTGCTTCATAATATCATAACAAAAATACAAAACTTGACCTTGACCTTAGGTCATTTGGCTCGGTGTTCAGTTCTGAACAACTTTGCTTCATAATAACATAAAAATAATGTTCATCAGTAAAAAGATACAATATTTGACTTAGATATTGACCTTTGGTCAGTTGACTCCTTGTTTAATTCTGACCAACATTGCTTCAAAGTGTCATAACAAAATGTTCATCAGTGAAATGATACTAAATTTGACCTTGACCTTTGTTCCAATAACCTTGACCTTTGTTCAGTTAACTCCTTATTTAATTCTGACCAATATTGCTTCATAGTGTCATAACAAAATGTTTATCAGTGAAAAAATGCAAAAATAGACCTTGCCCTTGGAACCTAATGACCTTGACCTTTGACCTTGACTTTTTACCGCAGTGTGTCTCTTTGTTTAATTTCGACCAACATTGCTTCATAATGTCATAAAATGCTCATTGGCAAAAAGCTATAATATTTGACCTTGACCTTTGACCAATACCTCTAACCCGATGACCTTGACCTTCGGTCAATTGACTCCTTGTTTAATTCTGATCATATTTGCTTCATCATGTCATAACAAAATGCTCATCAGTGAAAAGATGACTTTTTACCTGAGTGTGTATTTTTGTGAACTGAACATATTGACCAAGTTTCATGTAAATCGGTCAATTAATACCAAGGTTATTAGCCAGGAACAAAATTTGTTGACAGACAGACAGACAGACAGACAGACAGACAGTCAGACGGACGGACAGAGTGATTACTATAGGGCACCCGTATCTCCGATACGGGGCCCTAATAAGAGGATGAAAATAGTTTTATTGTTCAATGTAATGACCCTTGACCTTAGTGCAAACACAGACGGTCAAGACAACGTCACAATTATTGTTGACGTCACACTTAATGAACTAGTTAGTCCTACCTCTGTCATGTTAGGAGACTTCAGCTGGGAGTTGAGTTTGAGTCGTCCGTCTATGTAGACGTTGAGTTGACTGTTGGTGAACGGTCGGCGAGAACTGGTATGAACTACGGCTATACAATGCTGGAATATGTCATTTGTTTTTGTTAAGATTAAATTTTTACCTATAAATTCAAATATTTTTGAAGGAATTACATTCAACAGTTGAAATGAATATAAGAAAGTTGTTAAGCTTGTAATAAAATCATTTTTGTATTTGAGCAATGACAATTTTATACAGCATCATTTTTACATTCTTTTTACGAAATAGTTTTTTATAACAATAGAAAATCTGATAACAAAAACTCCACTTCAGGCAGAGATAACGACAACATTTCTAATGTATATAGGCATTGAAAAGTTATTTTCCTGACCAATTGATGTTATTTTCTAAATTGTCATACAAAGACAGTTATTGACTTTTGGCCACTTTAGGAAGAAGATCTTGAAGTTATTCCCAGTAATGTTGCAGAAAAGTAATGACATACAGCAAATATCACGGAGGCCAGTTTCTGTCACTATCACAGTTGGAGTATTCTTTAGTACTCACCCAGAGATTGTCATGGAGGCCAGTTTCTGTCAGTATCACAGTTAAGTATTCTTTGGTACTCACCCAGAGATTGTCACAGAGGCCAGTTTCTGTCACTATCACAGTTAAGTATTCTTTGGTACTCCCCCAGAGATTGTCGTGGAGGCCAGTTTTTGTCCCTATCAACAGCTGGATATTCATTCTTTGGTACTCACCCAGAGATTGTCACAGAGGCCAGTTTCTGTCACTATCACAGTTAAGTATTCTTTGGTACTCCCCCAGAGATTGTCGTGGAGGCCAGTTTTTGTCCCTATCAACAGCTGGATATTCATTCTTTGGTACTCACCCAGAGATTGTCGTGGAGGCCAGTTTCTGTCACCATCACAGTTGGATATTCTTTGGTACTCACCCAGAGATTGTCATGGAGGCCAGTTTCTGTCACTATCACAGTTGGATATTCATTATTTGGTACTCAACCAGAGATTGTCATGGAGGCCAGTTTCTGTCACTATCACAGTTAAGTATTCTTTGGTAATCACCGAGAGATTGTCATGCAGGCCAGTTTCTGTCACTATCTGGATATTCATTATTTGGTACTCAACCAGAGATTGTCATGCAGGCCAGTTTCTGTCACTATCTGGATATTCATTATTTGGTACTCAACCAGAGATTGTCATGGAGGCCAGTTTCTGTCACTATCAACAGTTGGGTATTCTTTGGTACTCACCCAGAGATTGTTGTGGTGGCCAGTTTCTGTCCCTATCACAGTTAAGTATTCTTTGGTACTCACCCAGAGATTGTCGTGAAGGACAGTTTCTGTCACTATTACAGTTGGGTATTCTTTGGTACTCCCCCAGAGATTGTCGTGGAGGCCAGTTTTTGTCACTATCAACAGCTGGATATTCATTCTTTGGTACTCACCCAGAGATTGTCATGGAGGGCAGTTTTTGTCACTATCAACAGCTGGATATTCATTCTTTGGTACTCACCCAGAGATTGTCGTGGAGGCCAGTTTCTGTCACCATCACAGTTGGATATTCTTTGGTACTCACCCAGAGATTGTCGTGGAGGCCAGTTTTTGTCACTATCAACAGCTGGATATTCATTCTTTGGTACTCACCCAGAGATTGTCGTGAAGGACAGTTTCTGTCACTATTACAGTTGGGTATTCTTTGGTAGTCACCCAGAGATTGTCGTGGAGGCCAGTTTCTGTCACTATCACAGTTAAGTATTCTTTGGTACTCACCCAGAGATTGTCGTGGAGGCCAGTTTCTGTCACCATCACAGTTGGATATTCTTTGGTACTCACCCAGAGATTGTCATGGAGGCCAGTTTCGGTCACTATCACAGTTGGGTATTCTTTGGTACTCACCCAGAGATTGTTGTGGTGGCCAGTTTCTGTCACTATCACAGTTAAGTATTCTTTGGTACTCGCCCAGAGATTGTCGTGGAGGCCAGTTTTTGTCACTATCACAGTTGGATATTCTTTGGTCCTCACCAAGAGATTGTCGTGGAGGCCAGTTTTTGTCACTATCAACAGCTGGATATTCATTCTTTGGTACTCACCCAGAGATTGTCGTGGAGGCCAGTTTTTGTCACTATCAACAGCTGGATATTCATTCTTTGGTACTCACCCAGAGATTGTCACAGAGGCCAGTTTCTGTCACTATCACAGTTGGAGTATTCTTTAGTACTCACCCAGAGATTGTCACAGAGGCCAGTTTCTGTCACTATCACAGTTGGAGTATTCTTTAGTACTCACCCAGAGATTGTCATGGAGGCCAGTTTTTGTCCCTATCAACAGCTGGATATTCATTCTTTGGTACTCACCCAGAGATTGTCACAGAGGCTAGATTCTGTCACTATCACAGTTAAGTATTCTTTGGTACTCGCCCAGAGATTGTCGTGGAGGCCAGTTTTTGTCACTATCACAGTTGGATATTCTTTGGTACTCACCCAGAGATTGTCGTGGAGGCCAGTTTCTGTCGCTATTACAGTTGGGTATTCTTTGTTACTCACCCAGAGATTGTCATGGAGGCCAGTTTCTGTCACTATCACAGTTGGGTATTCTTTGGTACTCACCCAGAGATTGTTGTGGTGGCCAGTTTCTGTCACTATCACAGTTAAGTATTCTTTGGTAATCACCGAGAGATTGTCATGCAGGCCATTTTCTGTCACTATCACAGTTGGATATTCTTTGGTACTCATCGAGAGATTGTCATGCAGGCCAGTTTCTGTCACTATCACAGTTGGATATTCTTTGGTAGTCACCCAGAGATTGTCATGGAGCCAGTTTCTGTCACTATCAACAGCTGGATATTCATTCTTTGGTACTCACCCAGAGATTGTCACAGAGGCTAGATTCTGTCACTATCACAGTTAAGTATTCTTTGGTAATCACCGAGAGATTGTCGTGCAGGCCAGTTTCTGTCACTATCACAGTTGAGTACTCTTTGGTACTCACCCAGAGATTGTCATGGGGGCCAGTTTCTGTCACTATCACAGTTGGATATTCTTTGGTAATCACCGAGAGATTGTCATGCAGGCCAGTTTCTGTCACTATCCCAGTTGGATATTCTTTGGTACTCACCCAGAGATTGTCATGGAGGCAAGTTTCTGTCACTATCACAGTTGGATGTTCTTTGGTATTCTGCGAGAGATTGTCATGCAGGCCAGTTTGTGTCACTATCACAGTTGAGTATTCTTTGGTACTCACTCAGAGTTTGTCATGGGGGCCAGTTTCTGTCACTATCACAGTTGGATATTCCTTCTTTGGTACTCACCCAGAGATTGTCGTGGGGGCCAGTTTCTGTCACTATCACAGTTGGATATTCTTTGGAAGTCACCCAGAGATTGTCATGGAGCCAGTTTCTGTCGCTATCAACAGCTGGATATTCATTCTTTGGTACTCCCCCAGAGATTGTCGTGGGGGCCAGTTTCTGTCACTATCACAGTTGGATCTTCATTCTTTGGTACTCACCCAGAGATTGTCACAGAGGCTAGATTCTGTCACTATCACAGTTAAGTATTCTTTGGTAAGCACCGAGAGATTGTCATGCAGGCCAGTTTCTGTCCCTAACACAGTTGGGTATTCTTTGGTACTCACCCAGAGATGGTCGTGGAGGCCAGTTTCTGTCACTATCACAGTTGAGTACTCTTTGGTACTCACCCAGAGATTGTCATGGGGGCCAGTTTCTGTCACTATCACAGTTGGATATTCATTGGTATTCACCGAGAGATTGTCATGCAGGCCAGTTTCTGTCCCTAACACAGTTGGGTATTCTTTGGTACTCACCCAGAGATGGTCTTGGAGGCCAGTTTCTGTCACTATCACAGTTGAGTATTCTTTGGTACTCACTCAGAGTTTGTCATGGGGGCCAGTTTCTGTCACTATCACAGTTGGATATTCCTTCTTTGGTACTCACCCAGAGATTGTCGTGGAGCCAGTTTCTGTCACTATCACAGTTGAGTATTCTTTGGTACTCACCCAGAGATTGTCATGGGGGCCAGTTTCTGTCACTATCACAGTTGGATATTCATTCTTTGGTACTCACCCAGAGATTGTCGTGGAGGCCAGTTTCTGTCACTATCACAGTTGAGTATTCTTTGCGGTTATATACAGCTATCACAATATCAAAGGTAGGCGTCACAAACGCCTCAAATCCACATCCAGCACTGGACACAAAGCTGTAACAAAAAACTTTGATAAGAGAAACAAATTTCATCACACAAACAAATTAATGAAAAATGGAATATATGCAAACAGTTTTATCTCACAAGTTCTAAAATCACACAGCTGTTAGTTTAACATGGCGCATTCTTACCTTACATTTCAAAAGAAAATTTAAACACTTTTCACACCTTTTTTTGCATTTTTCAGAAAAAGGGGGGGTTGAGCTGTAAAAAAAATGTATGGTATAAATAGTCTACTCCACTGCACAAAATTAAAACAAATTTTCACTGCGACTTTTTATATCCTTTATTCTATTCTTTTGACCTATGACCTTTGACCTCACATACTGTCCTATATCCTGACCTATGACCTCACCTATAAAGGATCCTCCTATAGGAGGTGCCGTCCTGTAGGCTGTGAAGTTTAGTGTCCACAGTACTATCCAAGCAAATCCAGGTCAAGAAGGAGAATCCAGCTCCAGGCCATTTTCGGAAAGACGGCAACGTTATACACTGCAACACAGCATTGTTTTTCATTGATTTAAAATCAAGACATGTTTGAGAGAAATAGATGTTTTGGCAAAAGAAAAAAAAGAAAACCCAGAACTCTTCAAAGGCTGATTAACACCTTTTCTTCTGAGGAATATTTTGGTCATCACCATTCTGGACAAAATCAACTGTGGTCGCAATGAATCATAAACCAAAAGCCTACAACTGTATATCAAAAGGATTTTATGCACAAGTTTCATTAAAGTCGGTCGATGATTGTAGAAGATGCATACCCAATCATCAAAACAGTACCAGAAGAGGGAAATAACCCCCTCCCCCCAAAAAATAAATAAGATTTGCCAAAAACAATTTGAGTACATTTGATAGCCTTCCACCTGAGCCAGCTACAGACTAAATGTTATGACCCTAGGCTTAATGGTTCTTGAGAAGAAATACTTGAACATGTCTGACACTTGTCACCTTGAGTTTAAGTCAAGGTCATTTTTTGTATAGTCCTCCAACCTCCAATGACCTTGTCAATGTCTAGTAGGAAACATCAATTGTAAACTGATGATGGACGCAGACAGATGTCAATGGTTACTGGAGTCATGGCTCAAGTGATGTAATAGAACCTTACATCTGTGGTTTCCTGGAGGTTGAAGAAATGAAGTGCTCCTTCCTTGCCCTCTCGACGAGCCATGGTGGATATAGCATGCATCAGACGGCTGCAGTACGGGTTCTACATCACAAAGAGGAGAAATACTTAGACCATCAAATCTACAAGTGATGTTATACATCATTATCACAATATCGTTGTAGTAACTTTTTAATCATTTTGTATACAGATTATAAACACACATTGATTATATTTAGATTTTGAAACAGTGGAAAGGGTTAATATTCTTTGATAAATATTTATATTCATTAATTGATTTGATTATTTATTAATTTGTTTTTACACTGTGTATTTATTAATAATCACAATTTCACATTTTAAACACTATACGAATGCAAATTTGCGACAATTTTACAAAGGATATCCTCAAAAAAACATTATGTTATAAAACTATTTAAAAACCCTACTTTGAGGTGGAACATAAGGAATATAGACCCTGCTGTTGAGAGAAACATTTACACCAAACTAGCCCACTAGTGTTTAGAAACAGCAAACGGTCTAGACCTCGCTGCTGACCGAGACAGGTCATTTTAAGATATCTACCATTTCTTATTAATGTTCTGAACATTCAAAAGTATCTTTACATCATTCACTGACATAGCATTTGAAAATGTTGGAAAAATATTCAACTCGGGCCACAAGCGGCATTTGTTAATTATTTTTTCCAACAATTTCTCAACCTCATTATATATTCCACCATAATACACGCACTTACATTGATTATTTCGAAAATATGTACTGGACTTAAACCACACAATAACAGTTCTATTTACAAGATTAAAGACTTAGTGTAACATGTGTTAATTTTTTTATTGAATGATTATCCTACAAACCTGTTTCTCCTCTTCGTCCAGTCTTAGAAGACCAATCAGCTGTTTTAATTCTGTCGCAGTAATAGACTGAGTCCCAAGAGATTCAAGAAGGCTTATTAAGTGACCTAGGGAAAATGAAACATAAAAGTCATGGATTTGGCAGACAGACACAACCTAGCTTCATCGTTACAATTTCAGACACTCAAAATTTTTGTATACTAGCTTGAATGTAATTAGCAAGTGTCTATTTCTTTAAGCTCCCTTCACTAACCCTCCTTTTTTGCTGCAAGGAATATAGAAGTCATTTGTGAATATGTCATAAAACTCATTACAACAAGAGGTCCATTGGACCTGTATCACTCACCTGGTTTTATATTTAAGTCATTACAACTGAATGCATTAGTACATCTTTATATGAAATTTCCTCAAATCCAGACAAGATCTATGTTCTAACCCAACTGGGACCACAAAATCTGACTTTCAACTAATCAGGGGCCTCCATTGAGTTACCATGTTAACAGATTTTGAAATAAGTAATATGTCATATTACAGGGTGTAATTAGACAATACTTTAATTTTCATTCAACTATATGCTTTTATAAACCTAGAAACCAATTTTTAACAATTTATGAAAACTACAACTACACCATAGGATATGATAATCTTGCTGTACCATTTCTAAGGACTGCAGGGGTCAAATCAACCTCATTCAATTAAGAAATGTTTGCAGGCAATAAGTGGATATTAGCGTCTTAAAGCAAAATATTAAATAATTTTAATCTTTGGGAGGAGGAGATAGGTTTTGAAGAAAAAGTTGACGATGGACGATGGCGACGGACGCTGCGCCATGGCATAAGCTCACTTGCCCTTCGGGCAGGTGAGCTGATAACCATAAACCTGGTAATGAGCCCACCCATATCCCATACTGTTCAGCTGAAATGCATTCCTTATCCCCTACTTTGGTCCAAACTAAATAAATACATTATGCATTCCCACCATCTTTGCAATTTTTCAAATGTCATGCGTATGAATTAGGTCAAATGCGCTACACAGACTTGCGGAGATCTTACCGACAGCTTTCTGATTTATCTGACGCTCTCGTCCTAGGACAGTTAAGATGGCACTGATCATTCCGTCATTACAGCAATTCATCTTGTTGTTATGACCTTTTCCACAGAGCTTGCTCAAACTCTCTGACAGCCATATTTGGAGGTCATGTGACTGGATGTCTGGCAACCAGCATAGCAACATAACGGCTGCCTGTGTATTTTGCACATTGTGTTCTTTTGTCTCATCAAATTCTCCTTCCACAACCTGAAAGTGGGATCAGAGGGAATAAATTTAGAGAACAAATCATTTACTAAGAAAATATTAAAAACATTTTTTTTAATCTTAAACCGATTGACCAATGTTTTTATAGTAACCAATTCTTCAAGACATTATCGTTACATTTTAGATTTATCTTGACATTCTAACCCTGAAAAGTTACCAGTGAACAAATAAGACTATATATACGTCTAGCTTTTAATAAGCAATGTTATTATACCTTAAGTTTTAACATTCAATATTTGAGTTGAGAAACAAGAGTAAATTGCATTGTCTTTTTTAAAGACACAACAACAGTTTGGTTTGGTTTGTTTGTGTTTTACGTCCTATTAACAGTTATGGTCATTTAAGGACGTGTCAGGTTTTGGTGGTAGAGGAAAGCGGGAGTTCCCGGAGAAAACCATCGACCAACGTCCAGTACCTGGGGACTGCCCCACGTAGGTCTCGAACCCGTGACCCAGTGATGGAGGGTTCATGGTAGCAGAATGTCGGACGCCTTAACCACTTGGCCACCAAGGCCCCTCAGACAACAAAAGTCTACCTTCTGCAAGATCAGAACCAATGACCCTTCAATAAATTGAGGGATACAATCCCACTTGAGTTATGGGTCCCCTTAGTCAAAGTACCAATCGTGAAACTTCAATTTTAATTCAACAAACACTTACCAGATTTAAGACGGCCCTGAGGAGCTCAATGGAGGGTTGTCCAAGACTCTTCAGTGCCTCCACAAACTTTGTATAACCCACCCTCAGCTGAAACCGCTCCTGATCACAACACACATGATAGAAAATTTAAAGTGAAACAATCTATTTATTTTGGTCACAGAAGACAATTTTTAATTTTTAAATAATTTTCAGTACTTATTCAACTTTAGTAAATCGAAAATAATCATGTCAAAAATGTTAAAATATGATGACCCCTAAGACAGATATATGTTCACAGTAAACAATTACCTACCATTTATATAGCCTGCAAAATTACACAACAGGTGTGATATGTTTTATTTATAGGTAAAGTGATCAGGTAGTTTTATAGTACCAAAGTTTATATTCATAAATCTGACAACAGTTGTATAACTTTGTAACAAATATAACAAAAGTTGAAAAATGTTTTTTTGTTGTTTCCTTCAAGTTCAAAGATTTTCGTTCTCTTTGGTCTGTTAATGATCCTGAAAAAAACACAGAAGTGATATACTACAAACCTTGGCATTGACGGAGCCGGACAGCACCGTACTCATCACCCGCAGCACAGACATGGCCAGTTTCTGGGCCTCACTTCCTGTCAACTGTAAATATAAACATCCTGTGAATAACGGCAATATCAGTACAGGTATTTACCAATTCTGTTAAGGAGCCAGGTACAGGAACGCCTAAACCATATGTTAATCGCGACACTTGCGGATCCCTAATATCAATGATTTATATTTATGGTGAAGTATAAATTATCGGTGTGTAAAACTAATATCATTTTTAGAAGTTGGTAATTATTACGTGAATCATTGGTTTTGAAGTGGTCTGGGATGGTTAATACTTACGGCAGTTTTTTGTAGAAGTGATACAAACGCATCAAATGTCCCGCCACTAACCATGATCACCTGTAGGGCACTTTTATCCTGACACGCCAACATCTCGTTAATGGCACCTATAATATAAACAGGTACGAGAACAAAGAGTTAACATCTGATGATGGTGGGCTAAAATGTTTACCAAGCAAACAATCGTATCCTTTAAAGATCTCCGTACCACTGCGTAACACTATAACTAAGTATTGGAAGCTACTTTTTCTAGCATTACTATTCCGTCTTTGCGTATTGCAGAGTTATCTTCTCTTGAGAGCAGGTATTGATTGTTACGTCATTTGTTTCTGAGAGTAACGTCATCATTCTTTGAGAAAACGACGTAATTTTCTCACACAAACCAATGACATAACAATCAATACCTGCTCTCAAGAGAAGATAACTCTGCAATACGCAAAGACGGAATAGCTTTGATAACTCATTTCTGAAAAGAAACCAAAACCTTGAAGGACTTTTATGAGAAATAATAATAAAGATGTATACTATAGTCAACAACAGTGTTTTGAGTGGAAAAAACCTGCGGGGCTAGACCAGGATTCTAACTAATTGAGCTACTTAGACAAAAGGAGAATCATAGCACAATTGTGCTACTCAGTTATATCAAAACAAATTCAAGGGGAAGTAACTGTATATAGGGAAAAATAAAGTGATCTTTAAGGAAAGATAAATATTCATCAGAGTTCAGGATGTTCTTGGGAGCTATTGTAACTGAAGAGTTAAGCTCACACTTATCATGAGAGCTGTTGTATATTATAACAAGAAAACTGAGATCTTGGGAGCTATCGTAACTGAAGAGTTTAGCACATACCAATCATGGCAATCTGCATACGAGTTTCATTTTCATCTTCTGGCTCCATGTCGTTCTCCAGTAACACCTGCATGTAGCCCTCCATCACCTGGGAAACCTCGACCTGTCTCTGTATAAAAGTATTAACTTGTCACATACAGTAAAACTTGTATAAGTCGAAGTCCTCAGGACCAATAATTAATATATATACATGTCCAGTATCATTACCAGTAAGTACCCCTTTTGTTTATTATCATCTGATGTGATTCTTTAAATGTCAATGATCTACTGGTTAACTGATTTGGTATAGCACCATGTATCTTATGAACAAACAAGGTCACCCTACATGATCTGGTATAGAGCTATGTATCATGTGACCAAACAACGCCAAGGTCACCCTTCATGATCTTGTATAGAGTTATTTATCATGTGACCATACAGGTTAAGGTCACCCTACATGATCTGGTATAGAATTATGTATCACGTGACCAAACAAGTTTAATGTCACCCTTCATGATCTGGTATAGATTTATATATCATGTGACCATACAAGGTCAAGGTCACTATAATTGATCTGGTATAAAGCTGAGTATCATGTGACCATACAGGGTCTAGGTCACCCTACATGATCTGGTATAGAATTATGTATCACGTGACCGAACAAGTTTAATGTCACCCTTCATGATCTGGTATAGATTTATATATCATGTGACCATACAAGGTCAAGGTCACTTTAATTGATCTGGTATAAAGCTGAGTATCATGTGACCATACAGGGTCAAGGTCACCCTACCTGATCAGGTATGGCCGCGTGTATCATGTGCACCATACAGATGATGGACTTGAGAACAAGATCCTTCAGACTGAGCAGCTCCTGTCGTTGTTCGTTAGTTGGACCCTGTTTCTTGTCAAAGGCCAGCATCTTCAACAGGACATCAAGGGTAGCAGGTGTGATCACCTTCAGGGCATTCGACTGAAACAAAAATATGAAGATAATTCACATGATCAATATCATCAATATATCGGACGACATGTTTTTATTTTTCATATGTTATGAAGTTTTGCATATTCACACACTTCTGGCAGGTGATAAAATTAAGAATGGAAATTTTATATGACACAATTTGTGGTCTGTAACATAAAGCAATACTCTACATCAATACCCACTACATAGCCAAATATGTGTATGTAACTAGCCTTTCTCCACATGTGATGGCCACAACATGTTTATGTAACTAGCCTATCTCCAAATGTGATGGCCCCAAACCTGTTTATGTAACTAGCCTTTCTACACATATGTTGGCCCCAAACATGTAAATGTTACTTACCTGATCTCCACACATGATGGCCCCAAACATGTAATTGTTACTTACCTGGTCTCCACACCTGATGACACAAAACTGGTATATGTTCCTTACCAGGTCTCCACACATGATGGCCCCAAATATGTATATGTTCCTTACCTGGTCTCTGCACATGATGGCCTAAAACAGGTATATGTTCCTTACCTGGTCTCCACACATGATGGCCCAAAACAGGTATATGTTACTAACCTGGTCTCCACATATGATGGCCAAAAAAAAGGTATATGTTCCTTACCTGGTCTCCACAAATGATGGCCCAAAACAGGTATATGTTCCTTACCTGGTCTCCACACATGATGACCCAAAACAGGTATATGTTCCTTACCTGGTCTCCACACATGATGGCCCCAAACATGTGAAGCTGTCGAAGTTTTAGGTCTATATTGAAATTTCCACGTTCACAACAATCTACAAAATATAAGTTATACCAAAATTATAATCTGTTTGTTTTGACAAACTAGAATTTTATCTTTTTTTTAAAAACAATTACACAACAAACATTATTTTTTAAATACATACAGGTATAAATATAGGAAAGATCTGTATAGTTTTTGAGGAGTGTTCCTCTCACATTTATATGGATTATTCCCCGAAAAAAACTTATTCATTCAGTGTTAAACTAGCAGCATGGAGATGTTCAGGGCTGTAGTACCAAGTGTTACTTGTTAGGAAAGGTTGGTCACCATGTTGAATTTGTACATATATTTAACCATTAAAATAAAACTTTCAGGAAATTTTTATGTATTCATTTACACAATCATGTACCACTGAAAAACGTTTTGCCATATTATTCATATTTTTAGAAAACTACCACAAAATTCAAAACATTTCTGCCATTGCCCAGACAACTTTCATAATGAATTGACCTTTGACCCATCACTGTGACCTTGACCTTTGAGGTATAGACTTAAGAATGGTATACCACAGTGACATTACTCTAGTTAAAATAACATTTGTGTATAAAATGTCAGCAAAACTGTCTGCAGCTAGTTAGAATTTAAGGTCCAGACACAAAATGGACAGGCAGATGGACATCAAACAAACACGACTGTGGGAGTTTCCACAGGTTGTAACAAAATTGTCTTACCGTAGAAATATGGGACAACTTCCACATGGAGAGATGCTGGTCTGCACTTGATTCTACTTCTGTCCACCGTCCACCTACAAGGGGACGTCACCAGTGTTATAAGTGTAATGATAATACACACACACAATTACACAGAAATATAAAAATACATTATGAAGTCAATGACACAATTTTTCACAACAAGACATTAACTTTGCATGACCATTTTTGCCTTCAATGTCCAAACATATTGATTTTTTTTTCTCTATAAAACAACTAGGAAATCCCTGCTTCCACTCATCGATGGTCAGGTGACACAGAGGATAGTGTACAAGTCTTTCAACAAGATGGCAGAGAACTGATTCCCCAATCCCTCGGTTTTCTCCAAGTACTCCAGTTTCCTCTCTCAATAATACCCTCTGTACGCTACCATTTTGACCAACAAAAGTGATTAATGCTTGAACACTGACAGGTCAGCAAGGGCGCCTCCATGTGCTTGACCAAACCCCCTGGTCTATTTTTAGTAACAGTAACCTGGTCTTTAAAAACTTTTTGATTTTTAAATCCCTATTGCACATCTATATATCACAGTGTATCACCATGTCCAATTTCAAACAAATTAGATTTCTGGATTCTGAGATAAGGACTTGACTCCCTACAATCTTTTATTAATGACAGGAACCTTGACCTTAACACTATTAAATATGTTTTTGCTACCTGAATTTTACAACAGCCTGTTCCTTTTATGAATCAGGAAAATATAACATTATTTGTATTGAAATTGTGAATATATTCCTCAGTTTTTTTGTCATTTTGGGAAAAGAAGGCACTTTTTTAGCTAGGGAACCGCCTGTATTCGGCAGTCAAAATAAGCAAAAAAAAAACTGCTATATTTCGCTCTTTTACATATAACCATGTCACTTTTCAAAAAGATTAGTCTTTCGGATTCCAAAATAATCTCCAGAAACAAAAGTGTGGACAGACTGACGAACACTGTGCTTACTGTAGTGCACCCACATCTCTGATGCCAGACCCTTATAATGTAGAAACACTTTCATAGAACTTTAATCATGAATGTTGTAAAAAGTCAACAAATAAAATCTGTCTCCTGCTGAAATCTGACTGAATGATCTGGACTGAATTTAGTATATTCTAGAGTATTTAGCAATACATTTTTGATGGCTAGGTCCAAATTTAAGGATAAAATCATGTTTAAATGCAAAAGAGACATACTCCCTAATACGCCGACGCCACACGAAGAATGGATCATACAGACACTCGAAGAAATGAACGGTAAGCCTCACAAAGGTGGACAACTCTTCTGTTTCTGCAGCAGGTAAGTCAGATGACATCTGTAAAATATTCATATCTATATCAAAATGCCCTCAAGGTAATTAAATATAATACAATTAGGGTAATGAAAAAAAAACTTTATTATCAAGATACTGATCAGTAATAAAAGCAAAAGTGATCAATAATAAAATTTGTGTATCTTTTTATTGTAATTTATATATGCCCTATAGGCCTCCTCTAGAATTTATTGTTCATTAAGATGACTGACTGAGATGTACTTTTATTCATTAATAATGTATACAATCATGGATCAGATAATCGTTTTCTACAGAAGTGGTCAACAGTGTGGTAGAGCTACATTGCAGACGAGGACAACAAATTAGAACAACGCCTGACCTATTATGTATCTACCTGGATAATCGTTATATTTTATGCAAATAATTTACCTGTTCAATTATTGTCATGCCGATGTTGACAATATATTTCACAAATCCACAGGACGCTACCATAGGCACATTGTCACAATTTCTGCAAATAAAGTGAGAAATCAAGATGGTATCATTCACAACAACAAACTTTAGCAACTAATATCCTTTTTGAACGCGAAAGTGGAAATGACACGCTGATCATTACGATTACAATTTTCAGTTAAATTTGACAAAACACTGACATAGACAGGTCTCTATCTACATCTGACAATTGTAGCTGGGGTTCTCACTTCAGGTTCAGGCAATAGAATATAAATAAACAAACAATTTAAAAGTAGACGGTTTATCATGGTTTTGTGAATTTAATTGTTATCCGTAGATAAATTTTACCTTGTAAAACTCCCCAGGCTTTGTACTTTGATAGAGCATAAATAATATGATGTGACATTTAACATCTTATATTTAACTGACAGCATATACATCCATATGAAATGAACTTAAAATCCCTCACATGCTCCTATCCCTAATGATTAGTATTGAGAAGATTTACCCTTATTTCAGACTAAAATAAAAATAAAAATGGTAAAGGTCAAAGACAATAATTTATTTTTTTGCTCAATTTTTAATTTTGGCCTGATGTAATTACCTGCATATGACAATAAGGCACTGTAAAATAGACTTGGCAAGTGTGAGATGTGACGGGTCCTTCTGTTGTGCGAAGAGTTCACTCGTCTGTGAAAGGTGGTTTCGGAACACTTGGAGGATGCCATCTGGGAGTCTGGTCATGTGGGGTCCTTCGTCCGAAAACCTGTTTAAGTAGAAATTAAAAAAAAAATCTAGGTTACATTGAATTCATATAAGACAAATACGATATCATTTTTTTATTGTTAAGATAATTTAAAAAAAATCATATTCAAACAGTTAAAGTATATGAAATATATATCCCTGTTTCTTTCCTTTACTTTAGACTAAGAACACACCTCCAATAAACAAGTGATTTGGAATTGCAAAGTTGGTTTGAAACAATAAGGTCAGATGATTTCCAATTTACTTTCTAGTCAATTTACAGAAAATAGAAACAGCATGAACACTCCTGCAGTGATACAGTGAGTTACTCCAACCACAACAGAGGTCTCACAACCATGCATTACTAGTTTCAATGATATCATTATTGTCTTTTGTTGCCTGGCGCAGTGAAGTACAAAAAACGTTTGACTTGGGTACCTGTGGAAAACAGCAGGGTTGATTCTGAAGATAGTTACTAACCCTGATATAACAAAATATGATGACGATTTCCAGTTGTTATTAAAGAGAGAAACTGAGACAGACTTACACTTCGTCGAGGTGGTCAAAATCATAGTCAATCAAGTTCTTGTATGATTTGATGAAAAGTGCCAGAAATTCTTTGAGCGTATGGACATCATTCTGAAAATAATTAAGTTTAATGATCAACATCATCATAACAACCAGAGGGTCTGTATCGCTCACCATAATTAATTTACCTCAATTTTCCCTATTGGACACTGCCATTAATACAAAATTGAGTCCCCTTTACCCAAAGATGCTCATGCTACACAAGATTTGGTTAAAATCCCTCCAATCAAACTGAAGGAGAATGATTTTAAACATTTATTACTATTTTTCCCATTGGGCCCAACCCCTCTGCCCCCGGGTGGACCACTTCTCTGTTTATACAAAACTGAGTCCCTTTTGCCCAGCAAGGATGTGTTAAACAAAATTTGGTTTAAATCTCTCCAATAAATTTAAAGGAGAAGGATTTTAAAGATTAAGAAAACCATGTGGTCTGGCAGGTGATCCCATACTTTCATACTTTGTCACTTCCGATCAGGGAATCAAACCTAGGCTGCCTTGGTGAAAGGCAAGTGTGCTATCCAATGCACCACCAGACCACACTCTCCGTTAATACGACATTTCGTCCCCTTTATCCAAGGAAGCTCTGGACCAAATTTGGTTCAAAAAGAAACAGAATTTTAAAGATTTACATCATGTTTCCTATTGGGCTCCAGCCCCCAGGTCATGGACCAACAACTAACGTACACAAAAATCATTAGATTTGATTACAACAATTCATTTACTGAAGTGTAGCAGAACTAGACTTTGTCACTAGTTGGTGACCAGGGGCGCATTTCTTTTACGTGAATACGAAAAATGTTTCCGCATCATTTTAATGTTTCACCGTTTCATTTCAGACACAGAAACATGTGAAACATGAGTCATTGATGTTTCAAGACCGAAACATGAACTGAGAACGGTCCGGGTATTAGTTTTTATTATTACCAAGATGGCGCTCAACATCACAGAAGTCGTGCTACAACTAATTCAACATAGCTACTACACCTATTTGCATCCTCTCTGCTGTTCATTGACAGTGGCAATAAATATAGTGCAGTTGGAAATGGTCTTGTGCTAAAAGCTTCATTAATCAAATTTGTAGAGCATGACTTTTGCAGCTCTAGAAAGGAATGAGCTGCTACAACAGCTATATGATCGATGACAGCCATTTTGTTTTTCAGAAACAGAAAACAGAAAAAAGCAACATGTTTTAAGAAACAGAAACATGTTTTGGTTTTCTAAAAACACATTGTTTTTATATTACATTAAATCATGTTTCTGATTTCAAAACATTGAACTGAAACATGTTACAGATTTAGGTTAAAGAAATGCACCCCTGGTTGCATGTTGCTCACTCATTTTCAGAGTCTAAATATATACATAGAGTTTGGAGGTCTCTGATTTGAATCTCAGTCTGGTCATTTCAATTTTTGTTTCCTGTTACAGAAGTAATAAGACATACATGTACAGTAATTACTTATATATGTTTATCAAATCGTTGATATATGAACGTTTTAAAGTTGTGTATTGTCTTATGTATATTTTTATTGAATTTGTGCATGCCTTTTTACCTTAATACATATTTGTATTACATTTGTCTGGGTACACTTTTATCTGCTAGGTCACTTGCCAGCCCACCTCTGACACTCATCCTACGTGTGACTCAATATATATGGAGTTCATGTTTATTTAGTGTTAAAGTTGAAAATATGCAAAACTTCTGAGGTGTATAAGCATTATATATATTGTGAAATATTACTTGAAACAAACATAAATGCATGCTATTTCCCTATCTTTGTAATTATAGGTTCCCCAAGAAAAAATGGTGAAAATAAAAAGTTGGACTTATATTATGTAATGGTGGTTCTGGGTATATTCTACGAGAGCAATATATTCTGTGTCCGTCGAAGTTATCAACCCAGCAACCTGACCGGAAATGGTAATTAAGGTGCTGACATTCTTATTCTTGTCCGATCTTTTTTTAGAAGTCGCAGAATAATGAAAACTTTACAAAGTTACGTTAGGTCTATTTTCATTCCTGAACAGTGAGTCATCCATGTAAATATTCACGCAAATCTAACAACATTTATTTTTGAATCATAAAAACTCGCTTAATCCTCTAATCAATATTCGATCGGGTCTTCTGAAGGTGTGGTCTTGATGCAGATGCTGAAATTATCTGAGCTGTCAATATTTTGATGGATCTGGTGCTAAGGAAGAATAACTCACGAAAACTTACCTTGGCAGAGTAAATCATCCACAGCTGGAAGAGATTTTCTGACGTTGGTAACTCTTCCATTGCTGCATCCGGAAACGCCATAAATTAAAAAGATTTTCAAGTGTCAAGTCATTTTCTTTCCTAATTTGTGCTCACAGGTAAAGATGACGGCCATGACGGTAGGGTCTATTTCTATCCATGTGTTATGAACAATATGATTGGTCGTCTGTTTGTTACAGTATGAAAAACTCATTTTCATTGGCTGGTTGTGTAAAATCTAAAAGTAGCCCGCGATCACAGCTGGGGGATTCCCTTCCGCCTTGATTTACCCGCGAAATTTCGAACTTCTTTAAAGCAGAGACGTTTAATACATAATTACAAATTAGTAATATATATCTCTCTGCTAATACTTTGAGATCGATGTTAAGAAAAAAATAGGTAACATATGTTAGCTCATTGTAATAATAGGGAACGTGACCTGGAAAAGCTAAAACTAATTAGTAAAATTACAATACAGTTAAATTTAAGTCTATCTCCCAGGTAAACAGTGAAGAATTGCTAAATCAATTTCTTTATTTAATAATAAAAAATATGTAGCTCACCCTCTAAACGTCAAGATAAAGCTGAAGCTTTCAACATATTTATTTTACTTCTGTATCAGATTCTATCTATGACACTAGGCAGCATGGCTTACTCCCCCTTAGTCATGTAAAATTATGTTGTAGAATTAATAAGCAAGCTGGTCCTGATGGTGCACCCCCTAAATTAATTAAATTCTTACTTTCTTCCATTGTAAAAATCCTTAAAATCCTCTTAAATCAAATTTTCTCTATATAGTGGTAGAAGCCTCCGATCCAAGTAACTTAAAGACCTATAGCCATTACTTCAGTTCTATCTAAAATTATGAGGAAAATAGCGTTTAAATATGTATTCAATGTTATTGCTAAACATAATATGTTCAGTACTAGTAAACATCAATCAGGTTTCAAACAAGGCGATTCTACGGTCAATCAACTTCTCTCAATATATAATACCACAAGTAAAAATTAAGATAAAGGTTAAGAAGCAAAACTTTTGATACAGTTTGGCATAGAGGTTATAAAAGCATTCAGATTGCCCTCTGTGTTTTATTCAATCAGGATTCAAATGTTTTGACTGTTGGTAACGTAACCATGGCAACTGGAAGAGAGTTCCAATGGTTAACAATCCGGCCGTTCATTGAACAAGTTAAGTCTACTCCTTCGTTTTATTGGTGCCAGACTGTGTCCTCTTGTTCTTTTGTTATTATTTGGAATTAAAAATCCTTCTGTGACAACTCGATCATATACTCCATGTGTTAATTTATCTACTTGGATCATGTCTCCTCTCACCCTCCTAGGTTTCAGTGTAGGTAATTTCAGAATCCTCAGTCTGTTTTCGTAGCTTAGATCTTTCATTCCCTGTATTTGTTTTGTTGCTTTTCTCTGTACATTTTCTATTTCATTTATGTATGTTTGTAAATATGGATTCCATACGCAGGTCCCATATTCCACATTTTTTGGTTTGTTTGTGTTTAACGTCCTATTAACAGGACGCTCCAGGTTTTGGTGGTGGAGGAAAGCCGGAGTTCCCCCACTTCCAATGCTGTGGGAGAACAAAGTTAAACTCTTGATGATTTTCGCCAGGTGGTGCTTTACATCCTTATCTGCACCTTTATTATGTATACTACGTTGTACTAGTACTGTTATTGTAATCATAATTCTGTACAAAAATTGAACACATGGTAATACATGTATTTTTCACTGTAATACATTGTCATACCATTTTGTAATAATGTATAGACATTTGTAATATCACTTTTTTAATTATGATGAAATTGTTTACTGTTTAACTGGTTATTTTGTTGGGATGATATTTTTACTAGTTTACAGTCAAACTTCCTTTAATCAAACTTCAAAGTCGATGTGATGTTATTTGTGGATGGGATGTGATAAAAACAAATACTACAGAATATCTAAACATGTTTTTCTGATGGTGGTTTCTTGGACAAAATGATTTTGGGGAGTGACTAACAGACATGTTTAGCTCACCTGCCCGAACGGCAAGCGAGCTTATGCCATGGCACAGCATCCGTCGTTCGTCCGTCCGTCAACTTTTCTTTTAAAACGCCACTTGTCCTGAACGGCTTAATGGATTTTAACTATTAGAGGGCCGAATAAATGAAATAGATGTAACATTTTAAAATACTTCTTCTACCATAGGGATTAAGGGATTTCGTCCCAATTTGGTCTGGAACATCCTTAGGCCAAGGGCAATCAATTTTGTATAAACAGTGGATATGGTCCCCAGGACAGATGGGAGGGGGCCAATAGGTAAAATAGAAGTAAAACCTTTGAAATCCTTCTTCTACCATAAAGATTACGGGATTTTATCAACATTTTATCTCCATCAAGTTGTCTAGTAGTGCCTTTTACTCTTCGGGTGTATTCATTAAAACAAGATGGCCACCAGGCCGCCATTTTGGATTTTGACATTTGAAGTATATGTTCTCGCTTTATCTCCAGAAATACTTTATGATCTTTCTGAAATTTCATATGTACATACAGTACCTACCATGGAGTGCTATATCTTAACCTCATATAGTACTTCAAACAAGTGAATGATACTGCAATCACATGATGATAATTCTAACCAAATTTTGATTCTTGCCAACTGAAAATAAACAAAATATACCAAAAGGTATTATTTCGCTACATAATTATAGTATATTTTAACCCTCCATATAGAGTATTTGATCTCCGCATATATAGGTCTGAAGACGAAGATTGTTGAAATTTTAGCCAATTTGACCCACTGAATTCCAGCTTGGTTAGATACAAATACGTGTAGTTCATGATTTTGTTTTGCCTTTGACCCTGGAATCTTCTTGCAAAATTTTCATGAAATCGTGTGGCTGATTTTGGTGTAGAAGTGAAAAATCTAACTATTTTCTGTGTTTATTCAGGGACAGTATATACGTCCCTGGTTTATTGAATATAAGGACATATGTTTAAAAGTTGATATTGGGGAGAAATTATACCAAAAAAATATTAGATACAATTGTACTCTCATTATCTCTTGTTAGCTAATTTTTTTATGCATGTACATTTTATGTGAAAATTGAGAACCATGAAATGAATGGATGTATGGTATATATGTATATTTTTAACATTTTCATTGAAATAACGTAATTGTAATATTTTGAATAAGTGTATAATATTTAAGGTATGCATGCCTGTTACAATGTAATAGCACAATATGTTGTAATAATGTTGTAATGTATTTTTTGAAAAAAACCCAAATTATTATATTCACTTTCACTGAAATGATTTCAGATTTGTTGTAACTATGCTTCATAACTAAGTGTATTACACTGTCACAGTTAATATACTACATTTTATAAGTGTATTACACCGTCACAGCTACACTACATTTTATAAGTGTATTACACCGTTACAGCTACACTACATTTTATAAGTGTATTACACCGTCACAGTTAATATACTACATTTTATAAGTGTATTACACTGTCACAGTAAATGTACTTCATTTATAAGTGTATTACACTATCACAGTTAATATACTACAGTTATAAGTGTATAACACTGTCACAGTAAATACACTACATTTATAAGTGTATTACACTGTCACAGTAAATATACTACAGTTATAAGTGTATTACACTGTCACAGTAAATATACTACATTTATAAGTGTATTACACTGTCACAGTTAATATACTACAGTTATAAGTGTATCACACCGTCACAGTAAATATACTACATTTATAAGTGTATTACACCGTCACAGTTAATATACTACATTTATAAGTGTATTACACCGTCACAGCTACACTACATTTATAAGTGTATTACACCGTCACAGCTACACTACATTTATAAGTGTATTACACCGTCAAAGTTAATATACTACATTTTATAAGTGTATTACACCGTCACAGACACACTACATTTTATAAGTGTATTACACCGTCACAGTAAATATACGACATTTATAAGTGTATCACACTGTCAAAGTTAATATACTACATTTTATAATTTATAAGTGTATTACACCTTCACAGCTACACTACATTTGATAAGTGTATTACACCATCACAGCTACACTACATTTTATAAGTGTATTACACCGTCACAGCTACACTACATTTGATAAGTGTATTACACCATCACAGCTACACTACATGTTATAAGTGTATTACACCGTCACAGTAAATATACCACATTTATAAGTGTATCACACTGTCACAGTTAATATACTACATTTTATAAGTGTATTACACTGTCACAGTAAATGTACTACATTTATAAGTGTATTACAC